GATACTTCATATAAGCTAGCACGCCAAGCCACACATATGGGCATTACAATAATTAAAAATAGTAGGAGCATAAGAGAAAATAATACAGGAACACCTCTTTAAAATTCCAAATGTATCACTATTTATTCAAGAATTACTTGATCTTTTATGATAGGAAACAAAAAAATTACTTGAGCTTATTAAACTCAAACATCTCGTTCAAGGTACATGAAAATACTCACGCATACAGAAACTGATGCCCCCACTTTTATGTGAAGTATCTCACTAATCATATTACAGAAAATCTTGATTTCACATCAGAGATCGGACAGATCCGGAAAGTTAATTCAGAAGAAATAATAATAAACAATTTTCAGTAAGCTCCCAAATCCATCTCTACTTGCCTGCTACAGTGTAGAAAGAAAAAAATGAATGTTCAACTCCTCTTAAACTATAGGGAGTTTAGTTTTTAGCAACAATAATGATAGCTAAAAATCTCACATCTTCTCATTTCCCCACCCATACTGAACGCGACGTGAAGAATCATCTCCACCCTTCCACGATGTAATTTTTCTTATAGAAAATCTAATATACAATAGGTCAATTTCAGTACTTCATATCATGGACTGAAGAAGTGCTGGAAATTACAAAACGCTGAAAAATAACACATTTCATACTTCAAATCGAAATGCAAGTACCAAGAAAAAACAAACTGCGTAATGTAAATCCAAAACCAAAGAACAAATCAACCCTACACCTATAAGCCAAAACAAAACAAACACGAAGTCGAAACTCGACCAAAACAGTTTCAGCATCAGAATCAACAAATGCGAGAAAGAGCAACAAAAAGACCGGGCCAATACCTCGGAGTCCTGCGACTTGGCGATGTCCACGAGGATCTTAGCGGCAGGATGAACAATATCAAGCAGCTTCATAATAGTAGCGCCGTCATTAGAAATGGTGACATTTCCCTTATCGTCATGTATGAGCTTGTCCATACCTCTAGGTCCCAAAGTGGTACGCACCACATCGGCCACCGCGGTGCAGGCATTGATGTTGCTCACCAACTGTGCCTTGCCTTGGGAAGTATCCGTTCCCTCTTTCAGCAGTATGATCTGAGGTTGCTGTACAATTCCGACACATACAAAGAGTCAGATATGGTGAAGGAAATGAAAAAGACTGCAAATCACACATGAGAATGTAATGGAAGAAGGTGAAAGTGTGAGAGCTTACCAGCATGGCTGCCATTGTTGGAGATGTAGAGGTCGGAGTAGGAGGGAAGTGAAGACGCTGTAAGTGTTTTGTGTTGGTCTCTAGGGTTTGGTGGTAAGTTGGGGAAGAAGCTCTTCAAGAAACCAGCTTTCTTTTTTTCTTTTTTTAATTAATGACGTGTCCATTATTTTATTTTTTAATTCCGTTTCAATAAATATCTTAAAAATCATTTTCTAAATAATTAAAATATATTTTTTAACACGACTCTCCACAATAGTATAATATTGTGGCATAAGCTCCCATGGCTTTGCTTTAGGCTTCCCAAAAGGCCTCATTCCAATGAAGTTAGTATTCCTCCTTATCAACTCATGATCATTCCCTACATTAGCCAATGTGGGTCTTTCATCATCCAACAAAATGAAATTATGTTACGAGGTGTGAAGCATGTGAGTTAATAAAAAATTTGGTACATAAAATTGTTTATTTATTTATTTTTCTGGCTTTTAAAAAAATAGATAAACGATAAATATGATATTTTTATCGAATCTATTTCAATTAATTTCAACAGGATTCCAGAGGTATGAGATTCTAAATGATTTTTATTTTTTAATAATTTAGCCAATTTTAAGAAGTAGGCCCGCCAATAAATTTTATTTGAAAGCAACAATTTATTTATTAAAAAAAAACCACAAAAAATGCCCCAAAACTTTTTAAATTTACAAACCGGGCGCTGCAGTACAAAACCGGCTCATGGTTTACCCGGGACGAGGGTACTGGCGGGGTTGCTCAGAGGAGATAATAAATAGGTTAAATTAATAAAAATATATATAAACTTCTATATTCTCTAAAAATATATATATATACATATATATATATATATATTTAGATTTTAATCTGATAATTATTCTTACCTTTAGTTTGAGAAAAATCGTTAGTATTTTGTTTTAAAAATATATTTAAATGTTTACAAAAATATTTATGAATTTAAAAAAGTTTTAATAATACTTTTAAATTTAAAAAAATTCAATTTTTTTTACAGCTAGCATTATATTTAAAACTATCTATTAACATTTCATAGATTATCTAAACATTTTAATGTTATTTTAAAATGTTATTTTAAAAAATTCACGAGTATTTTTAAAACGTAATATTTAAATTTTTTTAAAAAAATTAAAGTTATTTTTAAGTTAAAAAAGAATTAAGATTATTAAAATTTGGTAAAACTGGTATTTTTTAAACAATCCTGAAATTATTTTGAAGGTGGAAGACTATATTTTCCATCCATATTTTTAAATTTTAAAAAAATTAATGATATTTAATTATATTTTTTGAATTTAAAAGTATTATTGAAATTTTTATAAGGATAAGAATATTTTTGAGTATTTTTATTAATTTGGATTTTTTTTAAGTTATTTGAGTTATAGTTTATTTTTTAGTCTATTTAAATTTAAAGCATTGTTTAAATATATTTAAACTAAAATTTACAAGTAATCTATCTTTAATCCTTATATATATAATTTATAAACCATTATAGTAAGGTATTTATATATATTGTATATATTTAAATTCTGTCGAGTTAACTCGAAAATCCGAAATCGAATCGAATCAATTCGGGTTCAGAAAAATGAACCCAACCCTACCCTAAATCTTCATCCTACTCAACCCAACCTTTAACGTTTATGGTTCGGGTTGGGTTGGTCCAAATTGTCTGAGTGAATGTACACCCCTAATTATAATAATATTTTTCTAGAGAACCCCAAAATCGGCCGGCAAAAAGACACAAAACTTTCCGCCTTCTTTGTTCTTTCCATTCCCTTTCCCTTCCACTTCCATGGTAGTGTAGAGAGAGAACGAGAAATACAGAGAGAGAATGACGGACTTGGAATGGAGCGAAGCAAGGAAGAGGATGATCGAAGATCAGGCAAAGGCAGAACTGGAATCTCTCCAACTACTTCATCCCAATCGTTTCGAATACCTAAAGCTCGAACTCAAATCCTTCATCCAACTTCTTCAATCGCAATCGCAATCGGAAGAGCTTTTTCATCAGCCGAACGCAGTCGAAGCCTCGAGACGACGATCGCCTTCCTCTCTCGCTCCTGATTCGCAAGGTCAGTGCCCGCTCTGCCTTCCGCTCCATCTCTTCTTCTTCTTTTTCTTTTCCGATTGTTTACTGATTCATGTGTTTTGTAGCAGAATCGAGTAGTTGTAGGAAGAGGAGGAAGATGGAGGAAGGAGGACAAATGAAAGTGTACGGGGACCGATTACAGAGAGAGATTGCTGAATCGGAAACGGGAGACAAGAACGGGCGGCGGAGGGATAGAGTTGATGTGGTTCTGGAAAGAGCCGTTGTTTGTCTCCGGAAGATTCAACGCTTCAAAACGGCTTTGATTTCCACCGCCTATTGACGACGGCGCTCCATTTCCTTGCCGCCTCGAAGGTGCCGCTCCACTTTCTCTCTGTTTCGCTTTTCATGCCATGAATTGCCGCACGTGTGTAAATTTTTTGAAACTAGGCGGGGATAAAATTTACAATTTTGTGAGGGCGTGTGTGAAATTACTCTCATCCTTAAGGTCAAATTTGCAATAAAAAGAAAATTATAACAACTTTGAATTCAGAATTTTGTGTATAAATATTGATTTTATATTCTCTAATATGCAAATTATAATTTTTAAACAGAATTAAAATAGTCGTTATTTTTTCTAAAATTTAATTCTTGAATACTCTTGTGGTTGAAAATGGAAAAATGTATAGCCAATTCTCCCACATTTCCTTAATTATGGAAATAAATGTTTGTTCCTAGGCATGATTATCGATAAGCTTAGAATGGATTCTTTTCAGGTTAATACCCGAGCGGCTAATAAAGACAAATTGGTTGGCAATATCTCTACCCTGGTTCAAATAAGCTCAATCACAACAAAATTAAGTTGTTTAAAGTAAGATACAAAATCCACGTGATATTTGTTCTTATTGTCAGTACTGTTTTGAGACTCACGAGATAATTGTGTGACATCTTCTCTTACCATTGAATAAGACAGCTAATTACAATCAGGGTTCTCGGTGACACAAATGACCTAGATTTAGCATCCATCGAGTTCTTGGAAAACGGTTTTAAAAATTGGGTTAAAGAAATTTTAGAGAACGTTTCCAAACCCATTTAAGAAATCAAATATTATAAACTAGCATATATACTCGAGTATGAAGATTTAACAACTAATTGAATCTCGTATGATACATTTTGATGACAATTGATTTGAGTAAAGCGTGAACGTGAAATGTGGCATGGAGTCATGTGGTCATGAAATTACAAGAAAAAACTAATAATTAGCTAGAATGAACGAGGTACGAAGGCAAGGTAAAATGGCTTGGAATGAGCATGTGACCACAAACAATATGTTACGGGCGAACATGACCACGACACTAAGCATTTTTAAAAAATTTAAAATTTAAATAATTATCTATTTATTTTAAATTTAAATCTCATTTTGGTATTTTATCTTTTAAATTTGGTTTTGTTTTAATTTATAACATTTTAGAACATTAATTATAGTCTCACAAAATTAGTTTTAAGATTTATAATCCTATCCATAATATATTTGTTAGCTTAAAAAAATAGAAAATTAACTTTTTATTAATCAATTTTGATTTTTTTTTTTTTTTGTTTAATTTACATTTTTTTTTTCTGATATTGTGATATACATAATAGGGACTAAAAAAATTTCCACAGAGACTACACGTGTCATCTTCTGATTTGCTTATCAGCGGATTAGAATACACGATGGCACATCGGATTACTCTCTAAACGTCCTCGATCGCGCCTTCTCTTTCTCTCTCTCTCTCATCGTTTTTCCCTCTCCTCCTCTTCACGGCCACCAGCCTCCGTGACTGTCGGCGTCGCTAGTCACCGGCGTCAGAACTATGACGAGTTAGGTCCGCCCACTTCCACAACGCCCTATCTATTTTCCTCCTGTTAATTAGTTCTCATTTCTTTCAGTTTCTAGGGTTTATTTCCGTCTCTGTTTCTCTGTAATGCTATAGGGCTTTGATTTTATTTGGTTGTAGTTCGAATTATGATGTTTTTGGTTTCCTGGTGAGATATGCCTTTATAATGGGGTTTGGTTTTGGTAATCTCGGTGTATTAAGTTTCTCGGCTATGAAAAGTTTAATTATCTGCTAAAAATGTGTCCTGTTTTTCTTTTTTTTTTTTTTTTTTTTTTTTTTTTTTTTTTTTTTTTTTTTTTTTTTTTTTTTGTAGTTATTTGCAATGTTTTGAATTCAATTACTTGATTTTTGTCTCGAAATTATAGATTTTTCTTTCTTTTCTGTTTACTACCAAGGAATTTTGGTGTTAAATGTGTGGGAATAGATGAAGTTTGAACATGATAAATTGAGGTACTTATTGTATTTAGATGTTTAAATCAGTGGTTTTACATGTATCGTACTAATAGCAAATAATAACTTTTATTTGAAGACGTATGCATACAGTTATAGATTGCACTTGTTGGATATTGGCATTTCCAAGATGATTATTGCCTTGGGGAGATTGCATCAGTTTTTTGGTTGGAATCGCATTATTGTTGCTACTGATTTTATGTTGACCTCTCGTTTTTAAGGCCAATTGGTTATTAGACAGTGGAGTTTCTAACGTGGTTCAGTTTTTTGGTGGCTGGCTGTACCTAGAAATCTCAATTCTAATGGCTTCCATTCATCGGAGACGTCAGTTTATGTGTCTATGATTCATGAGATAAATGATGCAATATTTTCAAGGAGGCAACCAAATATTTCGATCACGTTCGTCTTCACTCACTTCTTAACTGTTGTTTCTATCTATCTTGTGGAACATTTTTAATTCCAAATGCTTTTTGGTGGTCTGGTGGTGGTATGTTGTAGGAGCTTGTTGCAGTTACATTGGATTAAGGACAATAATTTCTTTTTGGAATGTTGGCTACCTCGCCATCTTTCAGGAAACGTGGAGAAGAACGTGGGAATTTGAATATGTGGCTGTGGTTAACTAGTTTTATAATAGAACTTCTAGGAATAGTCTCTTGTGTCTTTCTGTTACTGAGTATTTAGGGAGTGATCTTTGGGTTTTGGGACAAATTGTGGTTTTTCGTAGGGGGTTGTTATCTTGTTTGGTGAAAAGTAGGCTGCATCAATTATTTACAATTGACCTGTTTTATCTCTTGTGAGCTTTGTTGTCGTAGAACTAATGGTATTTTGTGGTTTGATAATTTGTTGCAGATTGTATCTAAATTGCATTGGGAGCAAAAAAAATGGATGGGCTTTTCCCTTCTATATTGGGTTTCATGTTGGATAAATAACTTGGCTTTACACAGTGGATTTGATGGATGAAATGGTTGAGGTTGATGGGATGGCTCATCCTGCAATTGTAGATGACAGTGATGTTGACCCTCATGAAGGTGAAATTAACAATGTCGAAGATTCTTCACTTCACGATGAAGATGGAATCATTGAACCATATGTGGGCATGGAATTTGAATCTGAAGACGACACAAAGACCTTCTATGATGAGTATGCACGACGCTTTGGTTTTAGTTCAAAAATTGGCCAACTTAGTCGTTCTAAATCTGATGGAACTATAATTGCAAGAGAATTTGTATGTGGTAGAGAGTGTTCAAAAAGGAAATCTGCTGATAGTTGTGATGCAATGCTTAGGATAGAGTTGAAAGATCAGGATAAATGGGTTGTCACAAAATTTGTAAAGGAACATAGTCATTCTACAGTAAATTCTAGTAAGGTGCATTATCTACGGCCTCGCAGGCATTTTGCTGGTGCTGCAAAGACCATGACTGAAGCGTATACTGGTTCTGCAGGCGTTCCCAGTGGTGTCATGTCTCTATTAATGGATGACAACCGTGCATCTGCAGAGAAAAATCGTGGAGTTAGAACTACATCATCTCAAGCAGAAGCAAATCGGTCACTTAATAATGCTTCAACTATGAATTATGCCATCAGGAATGCTCGCCGAAAGAGGACATTGGGGAGGGATGCTCAGAATATGCTCGAATATTTTAAGAAAATGCAATCTGAGAATCCTGGATTTTTTTATGCCATACAACTTGATGAAGATAATCGTATGGCTAATGTATTTTGGGCAGATGCAAGATCTCGAGCAGCTTACAGTCATTTTGGTGATGCAGTTACATTGGACACAATGTACAGAGTTAACCAGTTTAGAGTTCCATTTGCTCCATTCACTGGAGTGAATCATCATGGTCAGACAATTTTATTTGGATGTGCTTTACTGCTTGATGAATCTGAGGCTTCTTTTGTTTGGTTGTTCAAAACATTTCTAACAGCAATGAACGATCGTCAGCCTATATCAATTACCACTGATCAGGACAGAGCCATACATGTAGCTGTTGCTCAAGTGTTTCCAGAAGCCCGACACTGCATTAGCAAATGGCATGTCTTAAGAGAAGGTCAGCAGAAGTTGGCTTCTGTATGTCTCACACATCCAAATTTCCAAGTCGAACTTTACAATTGTATCAACTTGACTGAAACTATTGAGGAATTTGAGTCAGCTTGGAATTGTATCATTGAAAAATATAATTTAGCAAAAAATGATTGGCTCCAATCATTATATAATGCACGTGCTCAATGGGTTCCTGTGTATGTCCGCGATTCATTTTTTGCTGTTATATCTCCGAATCAAGGATATGATGATTCATTTTTGGATGGATATGTGAACCAGCAGACTACATTACCATTGTTCTTTAGGCAGTATGAAAGAGCTTTAGAAAACTGGTTCGAGAAGGAAATAGAAGCGGACTTTGATACAATGTGCACTACACCTGTACTGAGAACACCATCTCCTATGGAGAAACAGGCAGCAAATCTTTATACGAGAAAAATTTTTGCAAAATTTCAAGAGGAGCTTGTTGAAACTTTTGTCTATACTGCTAATCGAATTGAAGGAGATGCAGCTTTTAGCACTTTTAGGGTTGCTAAATTTGAGGATGACCAGAAGGCATATGTTGTCACATTAAATTACTCAGATATGAAAGCTAACTGTAGTTGCCAAATGTTTGAGTATTCAGGCATTCTTTGCAGACATGTATTAACCGTCTTCACAGTAACTAACGTACTTACATTACCATCTCATTACATCTTGAAAAGATGGACAAGAAATGCAAGGAGTGGACTTGGATCGGATGAACGTGCTATTGAGTTACATGGACAGGAGTCTTTATCATCAAGGTACAATAGTTTATGCCGAGAAGCAATCAGGTTTGCGGAGGAAGGAGCAACTGCTCCAGAAACCTATACTGTTGCCATAACTGCACTTAAAGAAGCTGGAAAAAAAGTAGCAATCATCAAGAAGAATGTTGCAAAAGTTGCGCCTCCTAGCTCACAGGTTAGTGGGGCTAGCTATGATGAGAGGAAGACCTCAGCTTCAGCATCAGATACGACCCCACTGCTGTGGCCTCGTCAAGATGAAGTTATGAGACGATTTAATCTTAACAATGCTGGTGCTCCTGTTCAATCCATCACTGATTTGAATTACCCACATATATCTCCTGTGACCCTTCACCGAGATGATAATCCTCCTGACCACATGGTTGTTTATTTAGTTTCTGCTTATTTCTTGGCTTAGAAATGTGAACGAGTAAAAGTTTCTAACATTGTCCTTTGGTTTAGGCTGTTCTTCCTTATCTGAAATCAATGACATGGGTGATGGAGAATAAAAATTCGACCACAGGAAATAGAGTTGCTGTTATCAACCTGAAGGTGCTAAAAGAAACATATGATTTCCTTTTCCTGGACTGTGCTTTCAAAGAGCTTTCAAGAAGTTATGATTTCTTTAGGTTGGTTGTTCTGATCTCATTTGTTTGACCTAGAACTAATAAGCTTCTTTATTACCTTTTGTAGCTGCAAGACTACAGCAAGAGTCCGTCTGCTGAATCGGAAGTGAAGTTTCAACTCTCAAGGGTTTCACTCGAACCAATGTTGAGGTCTATGGCATACATTAGCGAACAGCTCTCGACGCCAGCAAACAAGGTTGCTGTCATCAACTTGAAGGTTCGATACTAAATGCATCCAATTATTTAGATTTACCTGATTTTTACGTCTCACTTGGGCTGTTAGGTTCTAGTAATGAGAACACTAAATGGTCTCTTGTTCTTATCAATAGATCCATATTTGAGAATTAGAAGCATGGAGAATAACTGGTTTATTTATTCATGAACATAGGTTGTTAACATGACACTTAAGAGTTCTGGAGACCCTTTATGTATGCCATACACATTATATTATATGCATTATTATTTTACTTGTAAATACATATTCTGAAATTTACTTCATCTCAGCTTCAAGATACTGAGACAACTTCTGGAGAGTCTGAGGTTAAGTTTCAGGTCTCTAGAGATACACTAGGTGCGATGCTGAGGTCAATGGCATACATCCGTGAGCAGCTTTCAAATACTGTGAGTACTTTTGGCCTAAACCTTTTCTTTTTGTTTTCCTTTCCTTTTGGTTGCTAGTGTTCAAACTATCATAACATCCGTTTTTTCTGAATTTTTTGGCACATATATATAAGTAGAAAACTTCATCAATGAATTGTTGGGTGTTGGTTACCTATTCGGAGTATATTGCTTGTGAACACGTACGTAGCTAAACGAGTATCTAGCTTGCTAACCTTCTTGGTAAATTCATTTTCCAAGAGTGTCTTAAAAGTTGACTTTGGATCTTCTCTTTTGCCAGTTTACCCTTATTCTTACTGCTAGACTAGATTAAAAGTTTCTTTCAGTCCAATCTCTAGTTGTAAGAAGTGTTATGCAAATATGAAATAATAAAGAACAATCTTTTTCCTATTAAGGTTTTTCTGAAAAAAAATCGTTTTTTTTTTTTAAATATCGATGAATTTCTAGGTGTGTTACACAACCTCCACTAATTTTATTTGTAACGGCCCAAGCCCACTGCTAACAGATATTGTCCTCTTTGGACTCCCCCCCGCGGGACCTAGCGTCCTCACTGACACTTGTTCCCCTCTCCAATCGATGTTGTTCCCCTTCCTAGTTGATGTGGGATCTCACAATTCATTGTAAGATCCCACATCATTTGGGGAGGAGAACGAAACATTTTTTAGAAGGGTGTGGAAACCTCTTCCTAGCGCGTTTTAAAAACCTTGAGAAGAAGTCTGAAAGGAAAAGCTCAAAGAAGACAATATCTGCTAGCGGTGGACTTGGGTGGTTACATCATTATACAACCATTTGAACTCACAACATTTAGTTTGAAAATTTGTAAGATGATAGGTATGAAAAGAGGGGTTATTAGACTGCTGTCCGGTATATCTTGAAATGAGCTATTCACAACTTTTGGACGTCTGAATTGTACTTTATCTGTTCTTATTTGTATCAAAACTTATTTGGGCAGGCTGAAACTCAGTCAGAACCACCTCTACCAAAAAAGCAACGGAAGTAAGGACCTCAGACACCTGCTCGAGGACCTCACGGCACGTTAAGTCATTTATTTCTGGAGCCTGCCAACGTAGAAGACTACAAAATGCTTGCTAGTCTGTCGAGATTCGAGAATGTTTGGATGATCCCACTTTTCTCTTTAGTTTAGGCTAGCCACATTTCCCTCTATAGATGTACATATAACACTAGATTCAAGCATCCAATGGTCCTAAGGGTCATCTTGTTAGGGTCAGGCAAGGACCATATGGTATGATGCCTCCAGGAATAGAGTAGCTCCATTAATTAATGCTTGTTTTCTTCTCATCTCCTAATTATATGCTCGGAGATTGCTGGCAACCTCAGAATTTCGGCTGCTGCTGTTATAGAAGTGAAAGGACTGTCATTGAAGCTGCTCAACTTCTGACTGCCCCGCTTTCCGTGAAACCGAGTCTGAGATTTCAGCTTGCTTGCTTTCTGCTGAGGAAGGATGAAAATGGAGATGGCCACAATCCAAATTCGAAGAATCTGATACTCACCCGAGTCGCTAACAAAGGTATGCCCCCCCTCCCTGTGTTGTTACTTGTGCAAAGAGGGTCACCATGTACTGTGTACATAAGGGTCTCATTGATATTTCTGCTCAAATGTGAAAATAAGACTACAATTGCTGTGTTATCTTATTATCATTTCCTTGTTAGGTCAATAACCTTTTGTTCACACTGATTTTTTTCTGTCTCATTAAGGCAGAGGTTGATATTGATACACACATTTTAGAGGCAGAATCATTTGATTCACTTAAAACAAGAACGAATAAAATTTACATTCATAACCATAAAAAAGGGAAAAAAATAAACGTTTGTTTTCTTCCAACTATAGAGACTTTTTATTTAACAATGAAAATGAAATTCTAACGTTATTTAAATTTCAATATTGTTCCTTAGCCACATTTAAGAACAATAAAATCTTGTGTAATATATATATATATTTTTTAAGATATGAAGTTTTAATAAAAACTTGAACTTAAGATTCATGGTGTCACAATCGCGGTTTCTAGGCACGAATTTGACAAAGGCAATTGTGCACCCACTCTTGTAGGTCAATCTTACTTGAGTTACATTGCCTACAGTCGAGCAACGTGAATAGAAACCTCGAGTCTTGATTTCAAGAGTATTTTATAAAGCGAGAGGTTTTGGAAAGAGTTTTGTCAGTAAGAGAGAGAAATTGGTGTTATATGGGAATGTAACCAAAAGACAACAACTTACTGCATATAACTATCGGGCAAAGAGAAATTGACAACTAGTCGTATTCCCTATAGTACATTTTGAAACATTTCATGTCTATCAGGCTAGAAGTTACAACTAGTCATATTCCCTATAGTACATTTTGAAGCATTTCATATCAACCAGGCGTAACCTTGACATCGTGTCACAAGCATGCAGCCATGAGCAAAACATGCCTTGGACAAGCAATGTCACCCTTGGACTTTTTTCAATGAAATCATTAAAAAGAAATTCAAACGAAGGATATTTGGACATTCAAATGATAACATTTTCACTTTTTGTAATTACCATTGGCATTGACACAATAAGAAAAAGAAAAAACACAAACAAAATTAACATATTAATCGACCAACATAGGAAAAGAAAATTCAAAACACAATCTGAAACAACTTTATAATAGAAAGAACCTAAGGACAACTACCCCTGTTCTAGTCTTCTTCTACTCATCATACATGTCATCCCCATATTGGGGGGCTGCTGCCTGGGAATTGGATATCCTTTCTCAATATAAATAGCAATAGATCATCCTATCATTACAATCTTTGTACTGTAGTTAGAAAGTTCATAAAACAGATTTGATATCCACAATTTTATTAATAGTTCTTGCTTGACCAAAATCGACTCTAACCAAAAATGAAAAATAAAAAGGGATGCACACTCCTAACTGCAGAAGAATTATGTTCGACGATTCGAAAGATGGGTACATCTTTCGGTCATTAACATCATCTCTTGCCTTCGGGTCGAGTTCATTCTTCACTAAGAATACAGAGAATGGACACAGAAAGGAAAAAAGAAAAACAGTTAGACGAATGCACAATTCCCCATTAAGGTGGTATTTGAACTTGCCCACAGCCAGAATGTGATCAAACTCATTATAGGGTGAAACAAAGCAAACCTCTTCAGCAACAAGAAGAATGTCATACAGTGACCAGTCTGAAATTCGTATCAGTTCTGTAGTTGCATCCCCCCCTTCGGAAACATGAGTGACCTCTAAACTTCACCGATGCCAAATATATCTACAAGCTTCTATAATCTATTACGGTGACTTCGTCCTCGGGTGCATCTAGGTCTTGATAACTGCATGATATTTACTGTTAGCTATACAACAAAATGCATTAACTTTCTCGATCCTGCAAATAAATTTGAATCGAAAAGAAGCATGTTTTGGAGAAATGTAAAATATTTGTGCACTTCGCAGCCTGATTAAGGCGTCAGTTGGTTGTCTAGTTTCTATATGTAATTATAAAACCCTAAAGTTTCGGAAGAGTTATGTTGTTATCATATCCTGATTCAGAATTAGTATGAAGAACATAGCTCGCAGCAAGGGAAAAAACCAAAAAAGTTTTACTGATCTCCTACGACTATAAACCAATATTCCTTGCCTGAATACAACAAAGTCAAGTCTAAGAAAGAAACATTATGAAGGAGAAGAAAAAACAAATAGAGCAGTTAAAATCTGTACAGAAGTTATACCTCCGTATTCGACGTGGATCCTGTCGAAAACCTGGAGATAGGGCAAGAATTGGAGCAGATCCACCTAATTGAGATCCTGGCCTTCCATTTCTACCACCACCCTCAAACGGAGGTGGACCTCCTTGTTCCCGCAACATTCTCATTGCAACTTCAGGTGGAGCAGGGACAAAAGGTCCTAATGGACTGCGATAAACATGAGCTGTAAGATCACCAGGAACACAAAAGGCACAAAAACGCTGAGCAGTTAAAACCAACATACCCAGCACCAGGAACCGGCATAAGCACTGGTGGTGGCATTTCAGAGGCAAAAGGAGCAACATGTCTGCCTTGGCCTCCAAAAGTATCAAACATAGGATCATCAAGGTTTCCACCATCCGCACCATCATTTGTTGATTGAAAATCACTTGATTGTGGGTTCTCAGATCTATCAAGTCTGTCAACCCCATTGGCCCAACTTTCACGGTCCCTGCGATTGCCTCTACCATCCTTCAGCCGACCATCTAAATTCATCCTACGTCTCTGTGGCTTGTCCTTCTGCATGAGATAATTGTCTCTTGATGGATTAAAACTTTTAACACAATGCATACTCTAGCAATAATAAACGGGGAAAATACCATTTTGGACCCTAAGTTTTGAGTATAGTTTGCAATTAGACTCTAGGCTTCAAAATGTTACATTTTATATTCTAGGGACCAAATTGTAGTTTCAATTTGGTCCCTAGAATATAAAATGTTACATTCTTACCCTTGAGTTTTGAGTTCAATTTCCATTTAGTCCCAAAGTTTTAGGATGGTACATTTTTACCCTTCAGTTTTCATTATTAATGCTTACTTTTGGTCTTTGGCATTGACTTTTCACTAATTACTTTAAATAATATGTTTAGACTTTTTTAATTAATTTTAATAGCCTATTGATTAATTTAATTATAACTCATTTTAAAAAATTAAGTTAATTAGTAGAAAAGTAACATAAAAGATCAGAACTGAGCATTACTGCGGGTGTAAATGGGTAAAATCTTGAAACATGGAGGGACCAAATGGAAACTAAAAGTAAAACTCCATGGTAAAAATGTAACATTTTGAAAGAACCAATTGAAAACTAAACTCAAAATCCAGGGGTAAAAGTATAACATTTTAAAACGTAAGGACCAAATAGAAACCATCGTCAAAACTGAAGAGCCAAAAAAAGTAAATTTCTCTTAAAAAACAATAGGAGGGCACGGAAAAATATTCTTTATCCTAACAGGATAATAGCTAAGTTTGAGTAAAAGAAGAAAAAGGAAAGCAAAAAAATAAAAAATAAAATCTGCACCCATACTTGTATTGTCAATACAAAAAATGAAAAACACTTCACACTCTACATACTAGGCATAACAAAATCCTAGACACACCACCCGTCCTCATTAATGAAAAATTACCTGTTAGAATGAAATGACCGCGGAAACATCAATCATAAAATGAGGTTATTTACTATTCATTGGTATTTAATGTGTTATCACAGCCAATGCACATATAATGAACATACCGGAAGTGATTGTTGCATAACAGGTGTCCCTCCAGGAGCATCTGGATCACTGTGAAGGATTAAGGTATTAGTCAATGACAAATTCCATCAACAGTGAGGGAGAATTGCTATCAGAAGATTCACTTACTTCATGTAATTTTGGAAATACAACTCTTCACGCACTTTTGAAGTCAGCTCCATCACAAGCTCTGGGTGTTTCAAGTTAAGATGCTTGTGCACAAACTCAGGGGCATGAAACAGCTTAGTACAGCCCTTGGCTCCACAGCCATACTTCCAACCATATTTTTCATCTCTTATCTTACGAACATATGGATCAAAAGCTTCAAAAGCAGCAGCCTCTATTTTATCCTTGGCAGTCATTGCTTCCAACGGATCTTGACCTCTCAATCTCTCTTGCCAACGCAAGTCAAGTTTCTTCTCCCACTCATCTGCACCACCAGCCATGTTAGAGGTCTTTCCCTCTTCTCTTACATGACGAAGACCCTTAGCTTCTCTTGTCTCAACAATTCCATAGTAATCTAAGCCATGGATGCGCCAAAGATATGTGAGAAGCGTGTCAAGTAGCTCAACACCCTCCAAGCCTTTGACAGTCGTTAACCCTCGTATGATTATGACTATGCCGGAGGAGCCACCATGCGTTTTGTCCCGGCCTAGTTTGGCACTATCAGAACCACACAAAATATTTTCTTCTATTCCCTTTTCAGCATCAAGTTTACGAACAAGAGCCTGAGCTTGTTCAATGTCAATTTGAATCCGTCTTGGTTCCGAACTAACAGGGTGGGCTTTAGGAGCAGCAGAAAGAAGATCCAATTCTTTGGCTGGTCCTCTACCATGACGCCTCCTTTTGCCATCATTGTCTCCTTCATCATCTGAATTTGGTTCACTAGTCTGCCCGGATTTATTTGTAGCTGCTACGTTGATCCCAGGACCTCTGCGTCATAAAATAGAACAGCATTGATTTGCCATCACAGTTGAAATTTTCTGAACGCAAAAATAATTGTGGAAAGTCCAATCTTACAGCTCCAGTGTTCCACTTTGCAGATCAAGCAAAAAGTCCTTAGCAGTTCTTTGTGCAAGTTCATTCCTCCTTAACCCACCAACCAAATATTAGAATCAATCACACAAAAAAAAAGTTCAGAAAAATAAAATAAAATAGCCGATTTCATGTCCAATAATTTAAAGATAATAAAAAATGTGAAGAAATTAACCACAGCTACAAGAACTCCAACTTTTGAGGAAGATGATGAGAAAAACACCTTTCGATGACAGTAACTAGGTTGGTAGGATGATATTTATCTCTCAACCTAAATAGAAAAAACGAGATTTATTAGGGGAAATAGGAAATGGAGACGAATTTCAGATATCAAAGACAAGAAGTACCATTCTTCATCTTTATGAGAATCAAAAAAGGCTTGTTTCTGAGTTGTAATATATTCTGAC